TTATAAGTCAAGCAATTCTCAAAGCCGCAACTCAGGCTGTCCCGATTGAATCCGATAATTTTAATGACACGAATGAGAAGCATGAAGAAATCATGATGACATCAGGGTCGAGAAGAGGTCCTAGAAGAGCATCTCGAAGGTATGAGCAACCTCATCAGGTTTCCCATGATTCCCTTGAGTACTATTATCCACTTCAGAACCCTCAATGCTCTGTTGTTGCACCTCAGTATATTGCCCGGCCACCAAGACACCCCAGAAGGCGAGTACCAGCACCGCAAAATCTCCACCAGCCTCCACAAAATTTTCAAATGCCCTATAACCCACATCCAAGCTAGGGGTATAGAAGGGAACAAAGGCTGAAAGATAATTTTACACCAATAGGAGAGTCCTATGCAAGCTTGTTTGAGAAATTAAAGCAGTATGACATGATTGCACCTATTCCTACAAATCATGTGGACCCCCTTGCAAGAAGCTTTGACCCTTCTAAAAGGTGTGAATACCATTCCAATGCTCAGGGGCACAATGTTGAAAGCTACNGTTCCTAGTTCTTTTGTCGCTAGTTCTAATGACATGACATGCATGCGAAAATTTTGGCCAGATCTTAGGAACTGATTTAATCTGGAATTGGATAACTAAAAAAATAAAAATAAAATACATTTGAGGATGAATAAAGAGTTGGAATACTTTGGAACTAAGGTCGAGTAAAATTCACTTTCAAATCACTGTGAAGATCGGAATTGAGGATGTTTAATCAATTGAAGTTTGTTGGAAAGTTTGTCACTAGGGGATGAAAAAATGTCTTGTGACCACGACACACCAAGAAGACAGACATGTTCGTCAATGCTGTGATCGCAAAAAGATACCATGTTTGATGTTCTCGAGGTTGGGAGGCCCTTTTTCTGCTACCCAAACACTTTATATCCTTCGCTACCCTTTTTGAGCCTGTGTTATTTTCTTTGACTACCCTCTTTTGGAATCAAGTTTAGAGTCAAAAAAAAAGAAAAAGAAAAAAAATCCATGTCCCAAGAGTACAAACTGGGGCAATTCTTAGAAAGTTAAAAAAAAAAAAGATTTGTCAAAGGTCCATGCCCTAAAAAATAGGAGTTGGGGCAACTTGTTTTGAAAATAAAAGAAAAAGAAAGAAAAAGAAAAGAAAAAACAACAGAAAGAAAAATGAAAAAAAATTAGTTAGGTCAGAAGTTTGAACTACGTTCGACCTGATTCCTTAAAAAAAAGGATACGTAGGCAGCCTCACGGTTCGGTCCAACCAAATAAGAATTTAAAAGAAAAAAAATTCAAAAAAAAAATCCCCAATAGCTGAAACTGGGGCAAAGATTTTATTTTATTTTTAAAAGAGTCGATTCCAAAAGTTGTAAGTATACAACTCCGTTATCTTTAGTCTGTTTTGAGCCTCATGTCGGCCTTTCGTCCAACCCTATCCAAAAACCTTCCAAATAAAGACCTCCCGATATGCCTTCAAGAATGTCAAGAGAAGCATACAATGAGCAACGGTTGTCACATGCCATATAACACGGTCAAGTTACTCACAAAAAGTAAGAAAAAGAAAAAGAAAAAGAAAAAGAAAAAAAATGAGAGAGTCTTATTAGTGAAAACCCTCATGGACACAGTAAGGCGACAGTAAGTAGAGATGAATAAATGAGAGAGGCTTGTTGGTGAAAATTCCTCGGGGCACCATTAGTTGAAAGTGAGTCGTGAAGCTGATGCAAAGGATTGACACAGATAAGCCCGACTTCAAAGATCATAAGAATGGTAAAAGGGAAGATTGGATTAGTTTGATAGATCAGGCCATTGGGTCCAAAATGCATGTCACGATCATTAAGGCTAGTTATTGAAAAAAAAGAAAAAAATTCTTCCTTCTGTCCTTCCGACAGGGGCATTTCTTGTTAATACTTGTTTATTTGCACCATTGTGTCCTCCACTCTGAGTCAGTCCTTGTCAAAACAAGCAAGAAAAGATTTCAAAACTGCTACCAGCTTTACAGTTGCACAAAGTGAATTTGGCCAGCACACTCAGTTCTTACTGTCAACATGCCTTGATGATTCATGCAAAGGCTCCCCCTAAAGACTCTTGTCAGCCTACTTGGCGCAAGCAAAGATAACTGGTGATTCTCTCTGACAGACAAATTGCTCAAAAGCAGGAAGTCATTCGAGATATCGGAAAAGGTCACCTAAACAGAGATCTCCAATTGGGATAAGGCTGTTTGAGCTGGAAATACAAATGGTACTGGTGTGAAACAATCAAAGTTGGTGCAGAACAAAAGTCTTTTGAGACCAACTCAAGCTGATTGAGCAGAAGCCAAGCTGCCCAAGACTCAAGGCCACAAACCGACCACCATTTTCAAAACTGACCAATTTTTCTTTGTGTGAAATAGGAACAAAGTAGTGCAAGGATAGTGGCTCAAAAAAAAAAAAAAGAAATAGAAAATAAAAAAAGAACAAAAAAAAAGAGAAGGAAAAGAAAAGAAGAGAAGAGACTACAAAGGGAAGTTTCTCAAATCTTTGCCTTTGTTTGTCTTGCTATGATGCATAAAATCTTGCCATTGATCTTTATATTTTTCCTCCTAGGATAAAAAGTCCTAGTCTAATGAATTTTCTCCTAGGATAAATGTCTTAGTATGATGAATCTTTCTCTTGAGATAAGAAAACCTAGTCTGAAAAATCTTTCTCCTAGGATAAATGTCTTAGTCTGATGAACCTTTTTCCTAAGATAGAAAACCTAGTCTGATGAACTTTATCCTAGGATAAATATTTTAGTCTCATGAATCCTTCTCCTAAGATACAAAAAATAAATGTCTTAGTCTGATGAACCTTTCTCCTAAGATAGAAAACCTAGTCTGATGAACTTTCTCCTAGGATAAACATCTTAGTCCGATGAATCTTTTTCCTAAGATACAAAAAAAAAATCTTAGTCTGATGAATTTTTCTCCTAAGATAGAAGACCTAGTCTGATGAACTTTCTCCTAGGATAAAAATCTTAGTCTGATGAATCTTTCTCCAAAGATACCAAAAAAAAGAGACCTAGTCTGATGAATTTTCTCCTAGGATCAAAATCTTAGTCTAATGAATCTTTCTCCTAAGATAGAAGATCTAGTCTGATGAACTTTCTCCTAGGATAGAAATCTTAGTCCGATGAACCTTTCTCCTAAGATACCAAAAAAGAAGTAGAAAAGAGACCTAGTCTGATGAACTTTCTCCTAGGATCAAAATCTTAGTCTGATGAATCTTTCTCCTAAGATAGAAAACTTAGTCTGATGAATCTTTCTCCTAAGATACCAAAAAAAAGAGACCTAGTCTGATGAATTTTCTCCTAGGATCAAAATCTTAGTCTGATGAATCTTTCTCCTAAGATAGAAGACCTAGTCTGATGAACTTTCTCCTATGATAGAAATCTTAGTCCGATGAACCTTTCTCCTAAGATACCAAAAAAGAAGTAGAAAAGAGACCTAGTCTGATGAACTTTCTCCTAGGATCAAAATCTCAGTCTGATTAATCTTTCTCTTAAGATAGAAAACCTAGTCCGATGAATTTTCTCCTAGGATAATAATTTAAAAAAAAAAGAAAGTCTGAATTTGAAAAAAAAGGGGAGTCATTTTTTTAGTTTTCTTAAGATTATCAATGTTTAGTTTTTCTGAAATCAGGGGGCCCTGCCTGGAGAATAGGGTCAGTTTTTACTTTAGTCAAGCTTAGTTTATAGTTTTCCGCAAGATCAATCACATTTAGGAGACACACATCCTAGTCGAGTCATTAATTTTACTCCCATCATTGCATCCTTCATCAACAGCGCAAGTGATTCATAGTTTTGTTAACACTCACAGATATTCCCAATATCAAACTGGGGCATGAAAGTTTCTTTTGTTTTGTCTGTTTTGTTGTAATCAGGCGCCCACCTGGAGAACAAGGGAAAATAACTCAAGTTTCAAGGGAAAGCAGTTTCGGAAGACAACTCAAGTTTCAAGGGAAAACGAGTCAAGTTTCGAGGAAAAATAGTGCAAGTATTGGCAATCAGGCGCCCACCTGGAGAACAATGGAAAACGGTCCAAGTGTCGAAGGAAGACAGTTCAAGTATTGGCAATCAGAAACTTTACCTGGAGAATAAGGGAATTCACTTCAGAACGCAATTCAAGTCAGCAACAAAAAAAGCTCGCGGCGAGAATGCGAGTCAACAGTCCAAGGTGATCAATAAAAGTTAGTCACGATAAAAAAAGAAGAAGAGAAAGGCAAGAAGTGAATCCAAATGCAGAAGTTGATGAAAGATGTGAGCTTCTCAAGACATGGTTGAGGTCACAAGCACTACATGTACGGTCTTGATCCGAAAATCTAAAGAAGAACGAGCTAGCTCCTGCAACTAGCAAGCGTCAAGGTTCAAATCCAAAGTCTGCATGAAGAACCATTCAAGACTCAAGATCAAGCTTCAGAGGACTTATAGATATGAATCTACTAATTCGTAGTTGACAGACTTAGCTAGTCTTTTTCATCTCTTTTGATTTTGATGTAATAACATGACTGCGGACCGGAACCTCGGCGGAACGGCACCTCGACCGGCTCTCCACCTCGGCATACTTCATTATCTCACTCACCTTTGAACTACACGTGACATGATTCCTTTATAGCCAAGGATATGTAGGCAGCTCAGATACCAGGGCTCGGTCACATTCTCCTTCCTCTTAGTTTTTGGTCACCATAAATAAGAGTCGGGTCAAAAAACTTGTCTAGTCATTCGTTGTCTGAAAATTTTTCGCGTTTCCAGTCAAAGAGGGGCAGCTGTAAACATGTGATTTTTGACCCTACCTAAGATTTTTCATATTTTAGCGTAAATATTTAGTTTAAGTTTAGTATCGCTCTCTTTACCTCATTTTATCTAAAAAAAAACTACAAAAATATTTTCCCTTATCCTAGCTAGTTGATATTTTGAAAAAAATACAAAAATAATCTTGGCATTTTATTTTTCAAAAAAAAGAAAAAAATAGAAGAAAATAGAAAAAATGTTTGGTCTTGTTTATTCAAAATTGGATCAATCCTTAAATTGACCCCAATTAATTAACCCAAAATATGTTCAACCCAGGCTCAATCTCGCTACACAGAAATCCATTACCCTTTACCCTACCCCCTACATATAAAAAGACATTTTAGAAACCACAGAAAAGAGAGGCTAGCCCCTACACACTAACAAAACGACGGACCTCTCTCTCTCCCTGGTTGAGAGCAGCGTTACACCATCTCTGAAAACCTTAACAACCAGCGGCTTTACTCATTCCCTCTCTTTCTTCTTTCCCACTTCCCATTCAACACCAACGAACTAACCTATTTTCCTAAGGCTGGAATGACAGCCATTTTTGTTAAAAAGAAACACACTGGAACACACAAAACAATTTCAATAGTTAAGAAAATAACTTGAAACTCTAGAATCTGAGGTTCGAAAAACCAAAACAAAAAAAAGAGTAAAATTTCAGATCTGGGTATGGTTTGGTTTAGCTGGTTTTCCTTGCAATTAGCTGCTTGAAGGTGGAATTTGCTCGGGTGTTTCTGCTGATTTTCGCGGATGCTGTCATCTGGGTTTTGATTTGAACTTTTGGGCTCGAATCTATGTTTAAAAGCTGTTATTCCTGTTGTCGCTAATGGGCTCCAAGGTTTTTGTTGAATACACTGTCCGAGACTTATTCACTACTTATTTTGCTCAATTTAGTTGATGTAATTGCTGAGGTTCATTAATTAAAAGACTATCTCAGGTTCCTTTCTTACCTTTCTCCCTTATCACAGTAATTTTATATTACTTGAGTCGATGATTGTTCATTTTACTATGATTCTTTGTTGTGTATCTTTCTTGTGTTAGATGTGTTTTTAAGCTAAACTTTTTGGTTGGAAATTGCAGTAGTGGTTCATGTTCTTTTTGAGTTAATTGTCGTGCGGATATAGTATTGCATTTGATATTGGGTACGAATAGATCATAAGTTGTTGAATATTTATGTATATGGCCATTTGTGCAACTCGAGTGAATCAGCTGTTTGGTATTGCTGTTGCGAGAAAGCTGATTCATTGATGAGAGGTTCGTTCAGATTTGAAATTGTCATATGTTGTGTGGCTTCGCTATATTTCTAGAATTTCCATGTGACTTAATGGGAATAAAGGCACGTAACATATATTTTTTCTTGCCTGTTTGCTTTTAAAAAATGGAAAATACTTGTGGCAGATTACTAGCTTGTTCATAAGCATTTCTATTTATTGTTGTAGTTTGTAATGAAAGTCTGTACTGTTAGACCATGCTCAATCATATGTGCTATCTCATATGTCGATGTAAATCTTGCACTCACGGAGAATGTTGTCACATTAGTTGACAATCCAAGCTGTGACCACTGTCTTGTTCTAGATCAATGGATGCTTATTTTTGTAAAGAAAATTTCTATTATTTTACTTGCTTCTTTTAATTTGGCAGTTAACAACATCGTAGCTTACTTCACGCGCGATTAATAAACTATTGTGATTATGGATACGATTTCCATGACATAGTTACAATGCCTAATTCCAAAATTCGGGAGTGCATTTCATGTGACCCGATTACAACAATTTTGAATAATAAAACCCTTTGAAATAAATTGAGGCGTGCCATGCCAAATAAAATCTCAAAATGCATGGCCCTCATTTAATTGATTTTAATCCTTTAGAAATCGGGGTGTGTCATTTAGTTGAATTTTCTATGGCCTCCGCAAAGTTGAAAATGCGTAGTTGCTTTAGGCGCGTAATTTAAATTAATTTCCTTAAACTCGGGTGTGCATTTATGTGACCCAAATCCAAATCTCAACAACGTTTGATAAAATGTGTCGTGGACCGCGGGTGCATTTATGTGACGTGGTTCAAGACGTATTCTAGATGACGTTGAATCTTTCCTAAAAATAATTAAATAAAAGCGATTACAAAGTTAAAATGTACCATAGGCTAAAACATGCATTAAAATCAGATAATAGGCCAATTATGATAGTTTAAGCGATCGTGCTAGAACCACCGAATCCAAGGGTGCCTAGCACCTTCATTCGGGTTAACAGAATTCCTTATTCAGAATTTCTGGTTCGCAGACTTCAAAAGGAAAGTCGAATTTTCCTCGATTTGGGATTTTAAAATAAACCGGTGACTTGGGACACCAGAAAACAAACCATCCTAAGTGGCGACTCTGAATAAAAAATGAATAAATAATCTCATTTCGAATAATGTCACTTAAATTAAAAAAACTCCCTTATATCTACCTTCGGGTGTGTAAAAAGGAGGTGTAACAAGATGCATCTATGGTTCGCGCCGTTCGACCCTCGGTATTGCACATTTTACTTTTATATTGGATCGGGCCGAATGTCCTCGGTGGTATTTGTGTGTGATAATAGAACTGGAAATCTTTATAGTTTGTATGATTGATTTTTTGAAAGGTCACTTGTTTTAAATAAAGAAAGTGCCTTGACTTCTTAAATATGAAGGCAGGATTTTCCAGTTATTATTCTTGTTTGAGCTTGTTATTATCTACATACATTATGATTTAAGAATTTGAAACTTCATATTATTATATTGTTGGCCCTAGTAAGTGTCGGAGTCGACCTCTCGTCACTACTTCTTCGAGGTTAGACGAAATACTTACTGGGTACATATTTTTATGTAGTCACGCTACACTTCTGTACTTGATTGTACAAGATTTGAGGCAGGTGTATCTGGCCATCAGTCCGGCACGTAGACTTGACTCCCCAGCTTGAGACTTCCCGGTGAGCTGCCCTTTTTGAGCCGTTCTGCAGTATTTGGAGTCTCTCTTATGTGTTTATTTTCCTGTCTATTCCTTTCCAGACAGTATATGATTTTGTATATTCTATTAGATTGCCCACAAATTTGTGACACCAGGTCTTGGCACACACACTAGTGGACTTATGATTTTTAGTTTACTTACATGATTACGATTCATATTTATTGCTTCCATTTATTTATGCTTAAAGTTTAAATGCCTAAATTTTTTATCAAATAAGGAGAAGTCATCACTTACTAATTAATTTAACAGGAATTCACTAGTTGATTAGTGTTGGCTTGTCTAACAACGGTATTGGGCACCATCACGGCCTAATATGGAATTTGGGTCGAGACATTTCAACTATGCGTCTATTGATCAATAAGGGCATTAACTTGTAACTCTGCATTCACTTGCGTATGATAATGTTGGGGTCTAAATCCACTCGAATTAGGAATCCAATGATCAATCCAGACCTTAATATTTTTACCTGTTCCTACCCTCCATTATATCCCTTTTTGCAACAGCTCTCTTCTCCAAATAATACTTTTCCAAATCCAAGAACTAGGTGATCAAATAGTAGCTTTAAGGAAAGAATTATTTTGAAAATACTTACTTCTGAGAATTTTAACAAGTAATTAATCTTGTTGAGTTAAAATTCTCCAAGCAAGTTTAGCTAACAAAGCTTGGTTAAAAGATTTTAAATCTCTAAAACCAATACCACCTTTTGATTTTGCTAAACAAAGATTCTCCCATTTTTCAAAATGCATTTTCCTCCCGTCCTCATTTCTCCTCCACTAGAAATTAGAAAAAATAGTAGTAATCTCTTTGCATATGCTATCCAGAAATTGAAAGCAAGATAAAGCATAATCCGAAATCGCGGATATGACATATTTAAGCATCATCTTTTTTCCTGTTGGACTTAAATAATTATTTTTCCAACCCTTAATTTTTGTCTTTAATCTATCTTTATCAAATTCCAATTTTTTTCTTCTTAGATCTTCCAATTACTGCGGGTAAACCCAGATAAAAACCTAAATTATTTCTTTGTAACTGACCTAGCTCTACAATAATACCATATTTATCAATTTCAAAAGTATTTTTACTAAAAATTATCGCTTATTTATCAAAGTTCACCTTCTGTCCAGAACATTCTTCATAAACCTTTAAATTTTTAAAGATATTAGTTGCATGTTGGATATTAGTAGAACAAAAAATAAAAGAATCATCCGCGGAGAAAAGATAGTTTACAGTAGCCCCCTCTAACTAAACTTAGACCTTGAATATCCCCTTGATATTCCGCTTGATTTAATAGTGTAGAAAAACTTCGGCACATATTAAGAACAAATATGGTGACAAAGGATTACCTTGTCTTAACCCCTTAGTAAGTATCACTTCACCAGCTATTTGCTCATTTATGTTAAACATGTATATAGGTGTAGTAATACATAGCATAATTGAAGTGACGAATGTCTTATGAAAATCCATTTTCATAAGTAATTGTTGGATATAAGTACATTCAACTCGATCATAAGCTTTAGCCATATTCAATTTCAAAGCATGTATTTTTTATTACCTATTATTTTATTCTTTAAAAGATGTATAAACTCATGAGATAAAGCAACATTATGCAGAATTTGTCTTTTTTCCTATAAAAGCATATTGATTAGGAGAAATTATCTTAGGTAAATATGCTTTCAATCTAGCAACAAAAATCTTAGCAATAATTTAATAGACAGTTGAACATAAGCGTATAGGTCTGAATTGACTAATACCACTTGGATTTTTCACTTTAGGGATTAAAGTTATTAGAGTTTGATTCTTTGAAGGTAGAAGACAACCTAGCTGGAAAAAACTTTTAGTTGCTGCACATAAGTCAACAGAAAGAATATTTCAACATTTACGAAAGAAAAAATGAGTCATCCACTCCTGGTGCTTTTAGGGGATGCATATCAAACACAGCTCTTCGAATCTCATTATGAGTAACATCTTTAATAAGTCTGTCATTTATGGAGTTATCAACCAACAGAGGAGTTAAATTCAAGATGGAGTCAAAGTTTATTGGTCTAAAAGTAGTAGATATAATAGCTTATAATATCTTTCTATTTCCTTTACAATATCAACTTGATCAGAGACCCAATGTCCATCCTCTAATTGGAACCCTTTAATACTATTACATTTTCGTTCCTGAATGGTTTTTATATGGAAAAAAATATATTTTTATCTCCTTCGTGAAGCCATTAAACCTCTAAACTTTTGTTTCCAGTATGCTTTTTCATCTCTGTAGGCTTGTCCTAATTCCTTACGTAGTAGTTTCAATTTATTAAGATCGAAATTAACAATATCAATTTTAGTTCAGTTATCTTATCTTTAATATCTTGAATTCGCTTCTTCGAATTTTCCTTTACCCCTCTTAGCCAAGCTAACAATGATACTTGACACTTCTTAATATTAAAACTAACTTTTGATTGTTCAAAACCCCCCAGATGTCTATTCCAACACTTCTCTATAATATTGTTCACTACTTCCTTCTCGCACCATCTCTTGTCAAAATAAAATCATTTTTTTCTTTTAATAGATCCAGGCTCTGCGTTTATTAATAAATCATTATGATCAGAAGCTTCCGTTTTCAAGTGAGTAACATATGCTAGATTAAATCCTAGTCTCCATCCTGAGGAAGCTATAACCATTCTTGAATAATACCATCATTTTTTCTAAAGCACCACCAAGTCCATAATTTTCCATTAAAACCTAAATCTACAGCTCCAACATTCCATAAAAATCTTTAAAATCTCTAAAAGAAGTTGTTTCTCTAATCCTACCTTCTAGCTTTTTAGAATTATCAATAATATCATTAAAATCTCCTGCAATTACCCACAGTGAACCCCAATTATTAGATTTACTGATAGGTTCTTGCATTTAACTTTTACGAAGTACTTAAATATACAAATACACACCAATATTTATAATCCGGTCATTGTATACATAAGTTTCAAAATAAAATGAAGATGAGTTAGATTGGCATACCTGAACATCGTTGTTCCAAAACAAGCATAGTCCACCAAATATTCCTATAGGATACACTAATAGCAATGCTCCATATTCAGTTGTCTTTGAACTCGCAATAAAATTCTTTCCTTGTTTTTCGTTTCAGTCAAGAATATCATGCTCGGGGAGTAGAGACATATTGTCTCCTTCATAAAGGAAACTGTCAAGGAT